ACAGAAAAAAAAATAACATTGTTGTAAGCTGTTATTTGAAAGAAAATAAATGAAAATTTAGCATTTCCTTGAGAAAAAATGACTAATTTTTGACTCATATTCTATGTACAGAAAATCTTTGAGACATAATTTTTTCTTTTCAATGTTTTCACAAGTGAAATACAGGGAATTTTCTATCTTTTAATTCAATGTTTTTTGGATGTTCTTTGGAGGAAAATGAGTAAATGCCCGCAGTGAATAATACTATTTCCGAAGCTATAGATTTGTCCGTCCGTTTTCTGTCCAGTGTAGTCACCTCCGATACATTCTACATTACCCCTTTGGATTCATCTTGTTTTAATCGTTCTTGGATATAGCTGGCTCACCCGACACAATCCGTTGATTGACTGGGTTTTGGGCAGCATCGAATTCTGGACGACATCTCATGGAATGCCATCGACCCCTCCGACGTCACTTCCGTCCTCGGATATCCCTCCTTCGACGGAAACCATACCTCCTCCGACTACATCCGTACCCTCCGCTGATAACACCGTTCCTAACATATCCCTAAACAATGCAGTTGCCTTTTGCCGGGCCTGCAAGTTAGAAGGATCGGTCCAGTTCAGTATATACCTTTGTCCATCCGGTGTCGATCTCCAGTCCGCGTCTCTCTCGTCTGATCCTCCGGATCTATCCAAAATCCCTTCGGACTATCATGAGTTTGCGGATGTCTTCGACAAGGGAAAGGCTGGCCAACTTCCTCCACATCGTCCTTATGATCTGAACATAGATCTGGAAGAAGGAACTAGTCCTCCCCTCGGAACTATCTATTCTCTATCCCTGGTTGAGCTTGCAGCCTCTCCGGAAGTTTCTTGATGAAAATATTGCCTCTGGACTCCTCCGCTCCTCATCCTCTCCTCACAGAGCTCCGGTCCTATTTGTCAAGAAAAAGGACGGCTCTCTCCGCCTTTGTGTGGATTTCCGTGGACTCAACCAGATCACTAAGAAAGACCGATATCCGTTACCCCTCATTGCCGACCTATTAGACTCTCCGAGCCGCGCTAAAGTTTATACCAAAATCGACCTCTGATCCGCTTATCATCTCGTCCGGATAGCGGAAGGGGACGAATGGAAGACTGCCTTCCAAACGCGCTATGGCTCTTATGAATGGTTGGTAATGCTGGAAGGTCTCACTAACGCTCCAGCAGCATTCCAACGCTTTGTCAATGGCATGTTTGCTGATATGCTGGATGTATGCTGTTATCGTATATCTGGACGACATCCTTATCTATTCCCATGATCTTGCGTCCCACAAACAACACATCCGAGAAGTACTCTGTCGACTCCGTAAACATTGTCTCTATGCCAAACCCGAAAAATGCGAATTCCATTCCACCTCCGTTGAATACCTCAGATACCTCCTATCTCCGGATGGCTTGACTATGTCATCCGAGAAGATCCAAGCTATTACTGACTGGCCGGAACCTCGGAAAGTCAAGGATATTCAGTCCTTCCTCAGATTCGCAAATTTCTATAGACGGTTTATATTCAACTACTCGGATATCGTGGTTCCGTTAACATGGCTTACACGCAAGGATGCTCCGTGGAACTTTTCCGAAGATTGTCGGAAATCCTTCGAAGAACTCAAGAAAGATTTCACTACCGCTCCAGTGCTTACGCATTGGATGCCGGATGTTCCTATAGTAGTGGAAACCGATGCCTCTGACTATGCTATAGCTGGAATACTTTCCATTGTATGTCCGGACTCAGAGCTTCGTCCGGTAGTGTTTTACTCTCAGTATGCTAACCGCTCCGGAACTCAACTATGACACCCACGACAAGGAACTCCTAGCTATATACGAAGCTTTCCGGACCTGGCAACATTATCTAGAAGGCTCGGCTGAGCCTGTAGATGTTGTTACGGACCACAAAAGCCTTGAGTACTTCGCCACTACCAAACTCCTCTCTCGCCGTCAGGCTTGCTGGTCGGAATTCCTCCATCAGTTCAATCTCATCATCTGTTTCCGTCCCGGAAAACTCGGAGTTAAACCAGATTCCCTTACTAGACGCTGGGACGTCTATCCCAAAGAGGGGGATAAGGACTATGCTCAAGTTAACCCTCATAACTTCCGTCCAGTATTCATGTCTGAACAGTTAGCTTCGTCCCTACGAGCCTCAACCTTAGCAACTCCAGTTCTTAGAGCAGCTGTTCTAATGGATATTGATGACCTTCGGAAAGACATCCTGACCGCGTTCCCTAATGACCCTATTGCAACCAACCATCTTCCGGTACCTTTGGATCCGAGATGGACAGTGGACGATAGGGGTTTCCTCCGTTGCGACAACCGTATATATGTCCCAGAATCTGATAACCTTTGACTTCGCGTCCTCCGTAATACTCATGATCACCCCTTATCCGGACACTTTGGTCAAAACCGAACCTTAGACCTCATCCGACGCGAGTATACATGGCCGGGTATATGCACCTATGTTAAGGACTACTGTCCGATCCCGCACTACCTGCGCCCGAGCCAAGGTTCCGAGACATAAGCCCTACGGATTGCTCAAACAACTCCCCATACTGGAAAAGCCATGGAATTCCATCTCTATGGATTTCAAAGAGCAACTTACAGACTCATCCGGCTTTACAGCCATCCTCGTTATCATAGATCGGCTATCCAAGCAAGCAATATTTGTTCCGACTCACGATACCATTACCTCCCCTGACCTCGCTCGCCTGTTCCTACTTCACATGTTTTCCAAGCACGGAGTTCCGTCCCATGTTACCTCGGACCGTGGTACAGAATTTGTATCCCACTTCTTCCGGTCCTTAGGAAAAGCATTGGATATGGTCCTCCACTTCACATCCGGATATCATCCGGAAGGGGACGGACAAACCGAGCGTGCCAACCAAACCCTAGAACAATACCTTCAGATATATTGCAATTATCAGCAGGACAACTGGTCGGAACTACTTCCCTTAGCAGAGTTCGCCTACAACAATGCTCCAAGTGCTACTACCGGAGTATCGCCCTTCTTTGCTAATAAGGGTTATCATCCGAACATATCCATCCATCCGGAACAGCGATCTATCCTCCACCCGTGCTCGCGACTATGCTATAGACCTTGACGACCTTCATCAATTCCTCCGAGAAGAAATGGCTCACGCCCAAGAAAGATATCAAGGACCTGCGGACGCTAGACGGAAACCCGCTCCGGATATCAATATCGGAGATCAAGTCTTTGTCAAGGCTAAGTACTTCCGGTCCACTCGCCCATCTAAGAAACTCTCAGGAAAAGAACCTAGGTCCGTTTGAAGTCATATCTCGTCCAGGTACACACTCCTTTACCATCCGACTTCCCGAATCCATGAAATCCGTCCATCCCATTTTCCATGTCTCTCAGTTGGAACCATCCGTTCCGAACATCATTCCTAATCGTATCCAGCCCCCTCCACCTCCGGTCGAAGTCGACGGAGAACCAGAATATGAGATATCCGAAATCCTAGACTCGAAGCTAGACCGTCGTAGACGTCAATGCCAACTCTTATACCTCGTCCGATGGTCCGTATACGAAGGAACGGACGAAGAGACTTTGTGGTTACTAGCCATGGAACTTGGAAACGCGTCCGATCTAGTCTCGGCTTTCCACACCGCATATCCAGACAAACCCGGTCCTATTGCTATACAATGAATATACAAAACGGATATACAAGTACATTAGTAGCAGAGAAAGCGGATCCGGAAATCCTTAGCCATCCATCTCCATGTCCCCAGCGGATCCAGATCCGGATCCGGATTCATCAGCGTCCTTCTCAGTGGCCTCAGATTGGGCTGCCTCAGTGATCCAAATTCCATTCCGGATCCCCTCAAGAAGGATGTTCTGGAACTCCCTCTGCTGCTCCAAAAACGCCTCCAAGTTAGTATTCATCCTCTCCATAGCAGCCCTACTCCCTTCCACCGCTCCGATGCTCTGCTGGAGTAATCTGTTGGTCTGGACCAGCTCCACTACAATGTTGTTAGCAGCAGCAACCCAGGCCTGATCATCATACTCCACTTCCACCTCATCCGCTACTGCCATCTTCATATCCGGATCCGGAGTCGGACTCTGCTGGCGCTTCTTACCCTTGCCTCTCGGAGATGGGTTCTCAGCAGCGCGTTGCCTCTTCTTAGACTTGGAATCCTTGACAAGTCCAGGCCTTCCGGGGCAGGTAACCTTATCCTTCCGGCACGGATTGCAAGCCTTGATCTATCCGAACGTTAAGAGTCACGGATCCGAAAAATCAAGGACGACTCACCAAGGAATTGCTATCGGCATCGGACCATAGACAGATCCAATTCTTCTTAGCGCAACGGGTACAGGACCCATCCTTATCCGCTGAAATAGTGCGAGTCTATGAAATCCGATAAGGGATGGATCCGATAAGCCACGGGTCCAATGGTACAAATCATAACTCACCATTTCCGCTACAATACGCTTCCCTTCAGATCTCAGCCTGTTCAATCTTCCTAATCCCATCCAAGCGTTTCCGTTCCGCCTCCTCCTCTTGTTGCTTCCGCCTTTCAGCCTCTTCCTCCTTCTGGACCTCGGCCTCAGCAGCAGCCAGCGCGGCCTGTACATCCGCTAGAGTCTGCCTAGCAGTCTTCTTAGAGCCGGATCCGTTATCAGCCATGTTTGAGTTAAGCTAGTGGTAGTGAAAAAGTGGGGAAAGGAAGGAACACCTGCGACGCTTTGGCATCCGTATATCTGTCGAAAATCCAAACTCAGCAACTTCTCCCATCAACTTCTCTATTGTCTCGCACTCATACCATTCGTTCCGGATCGCTGATTCTCGTGCCTCTAGGGATCGGCCCTAAGGGGGGGATACTGTCATATACCATATTCCCGGGTACAGATCCGAAGATCTGGATCTCAGATCCGATCCAGATCCAATGGACATATCCATTGTCCAGTCCACAGATCCGATCTAATCCTTGTTTCATGTCCTGTTCATATAACTCTAACTAAAAATGACTTGGCCCATGGCCATCATCAATCTCAGCCTGGAGTCGATGAAGGATGACTACTTGGCTGCTACAGTCAAGCTCGAGGCAGAAAATTATTACCAATTGATGCCCGACAAGGTAAGCACTGACTATGGAGCTCTGGCTTGCAATACTGATTATTCTTTGGCTGGGCAGTTGTTTGTCTCTACATTGCGCATGTGCAGTGGCGCCCATGTCTCGGTGTTGAAAAAGCTGGCTCCTGGGCTTCAATTTCTGTGGGACAACACGGCTACTGGGTTCCCGCCGAATACTTTTATTGTCATCAACACACATTCTGATGAATGGACAGGCATGCTGCAGCATACCGGTGGATCCGCTGGCGGCACCAGCACTTCAATTGGGGAAATCCCGATGGTGTACCTTGGGGAGGAGTGTCTGGATGCCTTGATGAGATTGTTGATCGCTGCAAGGAGCCACAAGACTGAGCACAAAATGGTCAATGGCAGGGCACCTTGGTGCAATCTCAGTGCTCATGGCAGAGGAGGGTGGAGGGGAGTCTTCATGGTCAGCTGTGGCCCTGCAATTGGGGTGGTGCACCACTTCGACCAAGTGATGGCGTTGGTGAGGGAGTAAGCACGCTCCTCTATCGACATTGTGCTCAGACCAACTGACTCTGCTTCAGAAATAAAGTCGACTTTGTGCTGGCATTCGGAGGTTCTGGGACGCTGCTGTCCATGATCTCCAGTGCTGTCCACTCCCTCCTTCTCGAAATTGGTGTCTTCAGTGAGATGGATATCTGGTCAGCATTGTGCAAAGTCCTATCCACCTCCAATGACCTTTTAGACTACACTACAGTGGTGCTAGTGTATGCCATCACATCCAAATCACGTCCAACAACCAACGCGTTGTCGAATGCCGTCAGATCGGCAAGGACATTCATGGGGTGCGCGCCTTCGGGTACGAGTTCAGGTCTTGCACCACCCTGGGATGTCAACCGACAGTAGCAGATCTGCGTGTTTACAACCGGGATACAAAGGTTCACGTGCACTGCTTGAAATGCCATTGGAGGTCTGCAGCTGTTAGTAACAATGAGGACAACAAGCACTTCAGGAGGATAGACAAGGTGCATGCACCCGCCTTGTTCTGGCATCATTATCCTGCCTCCCCTGAACTACAGAACTTCTTTGTCAAGCAAACCGCCTGCCCAGGAAGATGCCGAGCACCCTGACAAAGGAAAGGGAAAGAAAGGCGGAAACAAGAAAGGGAAGGCCAAGCATAAGGACGTCGCTGCCCACATAAAGGAAGGTTCAGAGATGGTGTGCAATTGCCCTGACAGTCAGTTCTCCATGGATGTTGAAGAATGAATGACTCTTAGCTACCTTGTCATCTTGACCTTGAGCTAATACAAGTCGAATCTGTTGTATTTGTATAATGGAAATTTGTTTGGCTGCTACAGGATTGAATTGAGATCTAGATCAGAAGGATGTCAAACTCACGATCAAACGACGGTTGGTGCATACAAGAAGGGTGGAGTCGCAACGGTCTCTCAATCTAACCTTCAATGCCAGAGTGATCCTATGAATGATCAGAAGGATGTTCAACCCACAATCTACCACCGTTCAGGTATACCAGAATGTGTTCTTGTTGCCTGCATGTGAGGCGATCCTTCAGGTATACCTGAACAGTAGTTGATCATGGGTTTAACATCCTTCCGATCTTTCATGTGACCGCTCTTGCATTTGCAGCAACATTGAAGGAACGTGGTGAGGCGACCCATCTGGTATACCTGAACAGTTGTAGACCATGGGTTGAACATCCCTCTGATCTTTCATCGGATCACTCTTGAATTTAAGGTAAGATTCAAGAGTGATCCTATGAAAGATCAGAAGGATGTTCAACCCATGATCTACGACCGTATAGGATCAGAAGGATGTTCAACCATGATCTACGACCGTATAGGATCAGAAGGATGTTCAACCTGTGGTCTACGACCGTTCAAGTATATCAGAAGGGTTGCCTCACCGCGCTCCTTCAATCTTACTGCAAATGCAAAGCGGTGGCATGAAAGATCAGAAGGATGTTAAACCCATGATCAAATACTGTTCAGGTATACCTGAAGGATCGCCTCACAAGTCTCCTGCTGCTCCAGACCTCAGTTCATTTCTACCATGCAGACAACACGAACACATTCATTTGACAATCGGTTATGACAGGCATACACAAAAGAACGTAGGTCAATAGTACTTGTACAGTTGATTGAAGGCATGCATGTAAACTGGACAATCAAGTGTCGGAGTCCAACTCTATATCAAGCCAGCAGCTACTGGAAGTCTTGCCTTGCACCATGATGTGCGCCTTAGCTGGTTTGTCAAACCTCAGCAACTTCCTGCAAGAGTCGTTCCTACATTCGAAAAAGTAAGTTCCTCCTTTGCTTGCAGATCTCCAAGTGTTCACCCAACCACACACTGGGCATTGGATCGGCAAGTTCTGCCACCATGGACGGTGGGCAATATTTGCCCAGCTGTATTTAGTCACACTCAATTCTCTCGTGAGTGGCTCCATCCGCATCAAAATGATATTGGTGTGCCGTCCAAGGTTCTTGGACTGGCCCAGCATCTTCTGAAATGCATTGCAGATTGAGATGCATTCAATGAGCACGAGTTTGACAAAGGCAAGGAGAAGGTGCGATGTGAAACTTGGCTAGAAATGCACTGCATTGAAGGCAATGCTGGCAGTGATGCGGTGACTGGGATGATGTAAGGCAAACCAGGACAAATGAAACTGAGGAAACAGACATACTAGAGTAGAGATTTCTGCAAGGCCATGAAGGACTCACTGTTGTTGACCAAAGCGCCGCAGGAAAAAAACCACAGACACCACAGGAAGGATTCCTTGGCTTAATTGATCAAAGGTTTCCATGGATCGAGAATGATCTCAAGGAACTAAGCATGCATCAGTGGTTGAAGTCAGTTATGATTGGAACAGATCAGAGCACTCACATTGTCCACCAGAGCGGAGATGTACTTCCCATTGACATAACCTGCAAATGGGTCGCCAGTGTCATTGTCCGTGTGATTGGTGATTGCCATCATGACTTGAGACCAAGTTCGCTGCTTCCGGAGGTTGTCCACTAGCGTTTTTACCTGTTCTTGATAGTTCGCTGCCTTTGGGCCCATGGTAATGTCAAAGATTACATCTTTATAGTCAATTCCACCACAGGGAAAGTATAGTTCAAGGAACCTGTAGGCAAGTTCAAATGGCCCACAGGTAGTGTTGTGGTCGATCAGAGTCAGATGAACAAAGACAACCAAGGAAGAGGATATCTAGGCTTGTTTGGAGACTTCAAGAGTGGCGAGGATCGGGAGGAATTTGTCCAATACCTCCAGCCCACCCCTGTAGAAGCCCTGCAGAACACATAAATCAATGTCAACGCCAGGTTAATCATTTCAATCACTTACAAAGTATGGCTGGGGGGTTTCATCCACCAGTTGCTGGCCGATGTGGCACATGATGCCCCAGAAGATCACGTCCTCAGACATGATTGCCTGTCGGAACTGCTGTGGAATGTCCATGCAGTTCAGGCAAGTAACCTGGGGGCAATAATTGCAGCATATGAGTGAGTTGGCCTTGTCAGAGCCGTCTCTGCAGATGATACAAAACTAAGTTTGATCAGTTTAAATGACAATTTCAATGAACGGCGCAACACTCACATTGTTATGGTCGGACCCGTCATCGCATACATCCATGCCTTGAACCGGTGCAACTGAGGAGCTCTGGTCAGGCATTGTAAGCACCATCTGAGGAGCCACACCTCCAGTGGACTTTTTCACCATCATCTTCATTGCAGGCATTGTGAATCGCAAAAGGAGCAAATATGTGTGATGGAGGTTGAGGACAAGTGGGGGCGTTTGTGGATGCCAGCATTTTATTTTCTTGCCATGAGGTTGAACAAATAACAAACAATATTCAAATATTCAACCCAGCTTCACGCCGCCCATCGTGAACCGAGTTACATGAGATTCGAGTGTTGTTACATCCCAACTGGAGTTTTAATGGAGTGTGGACTAATCCACACTTGAAAATTCATTGTCGCGTCTGGAGTTTCAATGGAGTGTGGACTAATCCACACTTGAAAATTCATTGTCACATTCAACAGCAGCCTAATCAAGCAGTGTTCCCTCGCGCCACTGTGGAAGATCATTCTCGTGTGTTCATCATGTTCAAATACATACAATAATGTACTTTACTTTATTTTTGTGCACGCAGTGTTGCTCAGGCACTCCAAAATGAAAGATAATTGGACTGAGCACATTTAAGTACACACATATGGCGGGTACTTGACATAATATAGTCAGTTCAATCCATGCGGCCTCTCAGTGTACATAAATATATTTCATTGAGTTGAATTAAGAGGCTGATTTTGACGCTGAAGGATGAGGCGGCGCGCCCTTTACCATATTTGGTCATGGATCACATGATCATTTTGACCATTGTGTATTTCACTGATGTGGCGCGTTTGTTTGTAACTATTGTATTTGTTTGTATTGGTCGTGGTTCATTTTCTGTTCGTTCTCTCTCTCTTTCTCTTTTCTTTCTTCCATCCATCTCCCAACTACCTAGCACGTCTCTCTTCAATGAGAGGTGTCTCTTATACACTCCAAAGTCTCCCTCCCTCCCTTCCAGCCACCTACCACGCTTCTTGCTATCATGGGAGCCACCTCTCAGTTCTCCCTGGTCGCTCCTCCTTCCATCCCAACCATCTAATGTGCAGCTTCCTGTACTGGAAGGCGATTCTTGTTTAGTGAAGTGTCGCGTTAGTTGGGGCGGGACCACCTCTGCCCTTAAGGGTCAAGAGCGCCCTGAGCTGTACAGCCTGGGTGGGGTCACCGTTGGGACTGGATATACAGTGGTTTACCGTCTCTCTTTGTATCCTTTTTACTAACTGTTTGCCTTAACTGCAGCCTTTCTTTTTGGCTGTGCATGTCCTTGTCAGTGGACTGCTGCCTTTGTGGGTTTTCTGGGGGGTTAGGCTTTGCATGTCCTTTTCAGTGGACTGCCGCCTGTGTGGGTTTTCTGGGGGCACTCGTTTACAGTACCAACCATGTATCACATGACTCCTTGCATGAGGAGGCGACTCTGGCTTTAGCCAGAATTGTGATATATGGGGCGGTGCTCCCTCTGCCCTTTACAGGGCAGAGTATTGGGCCGTATGGCTTGAGCGGAGTTGTCGTTGGATCTGCTGTCTAATTTTCTGGTCTTGTTGCAGTCCCGACCGTGTACCATACAATTCCGTGTATGAGGAGGCGACTCTGGCTTTGGCCAGAATTGTGATATATGGGGCGGTGCTCCCTCTGCCCTTTAGAGGGCAGAGTATTGGGCCATATGGCTTGGGTGGAGTTGCTGCCCTTTAGAGGGCAGAGTGTCAGGTCTTAAGACTTGCAAGGAGCAGCCAAAATCCACTCTGGCGTGACTGATCTAATTTAACACCCTAAGTTGTTTCTTTTGACCATCCTCCTGCCTGCACTAAAATACTTTATGTTAGATCTCAGTGCTCCTGAGGTAAGATTTCTATAACGAGAAGCCACCCGCTCCTCCTCCTGGAGATTCATCTAGTGTCATTTGAGGCTCTCTTTTTGTGCATCTCCTGGTTACAATCCACTTTGATGACAAGCCCTGGGTCAGTTACTAACCACTAACCCATCCGCTGTAGAGAACGCTACCTGCTTGCAATCCACTCTGATGACAAGCCCCAGGTCAGTAGCGGACCCTCGTGCACTGTATGGAATGCTGCCTGCTTGGATGTTGCATCGTGACATCTACATTGACTGCTTTGCCAAGATGTCCCCAAGATCCATAGCTGTAATGAAACATTAGGTATCCTTAGTTTAGCCACTCTAACCACATCGCCTCTTACATGATGGGATGCCCGACTACATAGACAAGTCTCTTAAGGAGATCCAGGGGTGATCATGCACAGGTAACTGCAAATTTTGTGGAAGTATCTGAAGAGCCCCTTGTCAACAGTGAATGGATCAATCACCGACATTGTAACATCATAAGGTTTTACTTTACAGTGAGCTCGGCATTTCTCAGCAGTTTGCTTCCTTTGCTTTAACATCGATCTCATGCTTGTGAGCCTAACTTTTTGACTTGAAGTTCTATATTGTTGACACGGATCGCATTTTGATCTAGCCATAACTTTGAAATCGTGTTCGATTACTGTCATCTGGAGTTATCCAATATTCATCGATAAACCCACAGAACAACTTTTTTAAGGTGTCCCTCTCCGTAAATTCCATGGCCCAATCACTCATATAACCTGCAAGTTGCAGCATGTTTGAAGATGATGAAGACTCTCTCTTTGGCTCACCACCTCCATCTCCAGCTAGAGGTAGGTCACCAGCATTTACCGCTCAAGCAGCCCAAGAGAGGGGCGCAGGCATAACACAAAATGTGGGGGCCATTGCACTTCCTGGTTCCCATATGTCATGTTCTGAACTACCAGCCGACCTATTAGCCTTGCCATTCGGCAGCTTTAACACTTGCAAGCAAAGCACCTTGCAAGCGCTGCAATCACCTTGTGTTGCCCTCATCAGTACATTTTTCAACATCTCGCCCCTCTTTGAGGGCCACAGGAAAATGCAAAACAACGAAATCACAATCAGCAACACCCTGTCCTGCACCCCCTGCCTATACCATTCCCTGACCCAGATGAACCACTACCTTCTAATTTCTTGTGAAACCAGGAAGCGTTATTAGGCATAGCTGGCCTCGTCAGAAACATGAAGCCAACCAGCCTTCCACAACAAACAATCTGCGGGTCTATGCCTTCTAACCCCATCATTTTTAAGGAATCTGATCCGATGTGCCTGCCTCATGTCGATCCTAGTCAGCTCATCTCTGAAGATGCTATCACCTCCCTCATCAGACACCTGTTATCAAGCATTGTGAAACTCCTGGGCAACTCTCCAGCTGTGTCCATCCACCCACTTTCTACCAATGATGGTGCATCTTCATGCCAATGTAGTGAGTCCTCAACGACTGCTCCACCCCCACTGAAACATTGCAAACTCACAAGCGTCCCTGCTGGTGCAGTGGAGTGGGATGTGCCCTACCCATTTCCTGAAGGTGAGGGCCCTAAGGCATATCATGCTACATGGGAGTGGGAGCATGTGAGGCATCTAATTATGCAGCTTGTGGAGTCAATCAAGGCTGCTTTTGAGTCATCTCCACTTGATGATGATCAGGTTCCACCATCTTCTTTGCAGTCATCCATGCATGCCTCTGAACCCTCCAGGCACACATATTGCAGTAACATATCTCCGTATTATACGAGTGAACGGACGTGCATAATATCCCGTATGATACGGGCCAGCGGACCATGGGCCGAAGGTAGATATATCCTCGACTGTGACGGATGGGCCGGGAGTGTTATTATTCCCGATGGAGACGGGTTGGCCCAGGTGGGGAATATGTAAAGTAGATGGGTGGGCCGATGGACATGAATTTTCAATAGACGGATCGGCCGAGGTAGTTGGATATTATGTAGATGGGTGTACCAAGGTAGATATGTATCAAATAGCCGGGTATATCAAGGGTGCTTGTTATCACATAGATGGGTGGGCCGACGAATTAATATTATTTTGTAGACGGGTGGGCCGACGTATTGGTATTATTTTGTAGACGAGTGGGCCGAGGGAGCGGTGAATGAAAGATTTATTATATATGGGTGGGCCAATGGTAGACATATATTGCATAGACGGGTAGGCCGACGTAGGGGTATATAATATAAACGGGTGGGCCCAGGAGAATGATAATTGTAGACATGATGGAGCTCAGCTAGTTGTATATCATGGAGGTAATAATTCAAAGTCATCTAATGATGTAGTATGGCATGGAGCCTTGCAAAGGGGTGAAGTGGAAACTCGAGCGAAGTGTACCAAGTTCCGAGACCCGGGTCTCGACAAACGAATATGTGATGTCCAGCACACTTCCGATCGTCTGGTATTTCATTGAGCAATATATGATAATAGATCTTTGAAAGCCAACATCATCCAAGCCTACCCAATGCCAAATGCCAAGTTCCAACTACCGAAAATCAAGTGAAGTGTACCAATATCCGAGCCCTGACTATCAAATCCCGACAATCGACCATTGAGTCCCGACTACCGAGTCTTGAAACCTGAGTCCCAAAGCCCGAGATTTGAGTCCTGAAACCCAATGCCCGACCATTGAATCCCAACAATCAAGTATCAAGTCCCGACCAACGAGTCCCAAATATTGAGTCCCGACCATCGAGACCCAACACCCGACACCCGACACCCGACAACCGACAACCGACAACCGACAACCGACAACCGACAACCGACACCCGAGATTCAAGACTCAAGTTCCAACTATGGAGTCCCGGATATCAAAAATCAAGTGAAGTGTACTGAGATCCGAGTCCAACCTGAAGGATTCCTTAGGCTGGACTTCCAAACCTTTGGATTTGTCCTTCCATCTCTATCCAAGCTTAAGGATTGATTCCTTAAGCTGGACCTTTGCCTTTCTGGCACTTCCTGTCTTTCCAAGACTTATGTCTACTTCCTGTTATCTCCGACTCCACCTAAGTGTAGCCTACCTCTGTTTGCTTCTACTCCAGACCTTGTCCATGGTAGCCTTTATTCTCCTGTCCTATAATCCTGTCCACTCCTGCTGACCTCCGGACCTTTGGATCTCCGGACCTTTGGATCTCCGGACATTTTACCCTTCTGATATCAAAACCTTCGGATATCAAAACCTTCGGACATTGTAACCTTCGGACATCATGACCTTCAGACATCATAACCTTTGGACATCTTAACCTTTG